AATTTAAAGACAATGGAATTCCCCCCACGAGCTTTTGGAATTTTGGAAGCCCCCTCTTAGGATGACCACGAACAGGGCTATCTCAATAGAAGCCGAGTAACTGCGTGAAGGGACCCTTCGCCAAAGTGGACACCTGCGCTCAATTCTGGGAACACCGAATCAGGTCCCGACATATTCCCAAGCCGGTGGGATGTTCGGACGCCGCGGGTGAAAAAGTCCCTCCCGCCCACGGTCCACAAGTCAATCCTGACTCCTAGCGACCCCACAAGATAGGGTTCCCGAGAACACGCATCTGAAACGGAGCAGGTAGCCTCTGCCTTCTCTCTTGGAGAGGCTGGTGGGTTTGAACCGCGCATCCTGCGGTTAGCAACCCAACGCTTAGCCAGTAACGCCACCAGGGCTCCTCCGAAGAGTTCTATGCGGGCCTCATTTTACAAACGGGGAAACTGAGGCTGGGGGAGGAAGCAATGGACGCGGTGCGGCGAGGGTCCAGGAGTGACGGGAAGACCAGCCTCCACCTCCACGTGGTGCCCGGAGTCCGTTTCCACAAAGTAGGGCTGACCCATTCCCCTGCCCAAGCCTCATTCCCTCCATGGTGCCCAGTGCGCGCCCTAAGCCCCCCATGGCCCCCCTCCCTCCTCAGAAGGATTACCCCCCCAAAAACTGAAGTCTGTTCTGTTTCTGGTCGCCTTAAACTCTGGGGGCCAGCGCCCATCCGGTCGTGGGACCCCGGGACACACCCCCCTCCCCCGGCAGGCTCACCGCCTCCTCCTCCATCTCCTGTTCGCCCTCCGTGCCTCCGCTGCTCCGGAGGAAAAGCGCCTTCTGCTTCTCGGCCATATCGTAGGTGGCCTGCTTCTCGGGATCGTCCCGCGTGGTGTCCAGCTTGGGGTGGAACCACTCCCACTGTGTGGTGCGGTTCAGGGACTCCAGGATGGACAGGGGGTCCTGGGGTCTCTGGTTCAAGAGCTTGGTCAGCAGGTTCACTAGGTGCTCATACCTGTCTCAGGTAGGGGGGAAGAGGGAAGACAGCCATTGGCTCCCGGCACCTTGCTCCGTGCTGTCACGGGAGACCCCCCATCAAGAGGAAAAAAAGCAAAAAAACAAAGAGGAAAAAAAACCCTAGCCCTGGTGAGGCCAACATTCCCATCAGATTCTCAAAATACAGGGAAAGAGCCCTGGTTTTGATAGGGCTAATAGCTTGTCTTTGGACCAGAAATGTGGTGGTGGTGGTGGGGTGGGGGGCTGTGGGACCTGGCAAATGGTCCCTGTAAACATTCTCACTGACATCAAGTCCATGCTGACTCCTAGTGACCCTACAGTAAGGTGACCAGGTTTAAAGCGGGACACCATTGACGGAGGGGGGGAGGTGCTTGATTAAAAATGTGGTCTATATGGACCAAATAGATCGTTCCCTAGCTTGTGCATTCTTTCCAAAAATCGGGACTTTTTGAAAATGCCCAAAAGCAGGACTGTCCCGCCCAAAGCGGGACATCTGGTCACCTTCCCTACAGGACAGGGTAGAACTGCCCCTGGGAGTTTCTGAGACTGCTGATTCGTTTACGGGAGCAGAAAGCCTGCTCTTTGTCCAGCGCAGTGGCTGATGAGTTCTGCCTGCTGAGATGGCAGTCTGTTTGGTTTTGAGTCAGGGGATGCAGGCTACTGCTATTGAGGTCAGCGGCCGTGGAATCGGTAGAACTGCCCCGTGTCGGTCTCCTAGGCTGTGATGCTTTGTGGGAGTAGAAAGCCTCATTTTTGCTCCCTCAGAGCGGCTAGGGGTTTCAAGCTACTGACCCAATGGGTAACCCACCACAACCCCAGACGAGCAAAGCGGGGCTTGGGAGTCTCAGGGGCGGGGGATAGTTTGCAGGTTTAAACAAGGAGGCCAGGGTCGGCCTGACCAAGTGACATTTAAGCTGAGGTCCGGATGAAGTGAGGGG